TGCCCCCGCCTCCGCCCCCAGCCCCGCAGCAGCCCCGGGCGGCCAATGCGCCGCGGCTGCTGCAGGTGATCGCCATGTCCAAGGCCCCAGGAGGGCCGGGCCCCAAGGCCGAGACGGCCTCGTCCTCCAGCGCCAGCTCCGACTCCTCTCAGTACCGCTCGCCCTCTGACCGCGACTCAGCCAGCATCGTGACCATCGACGCACACGCCCCCCACCACCCAGTGGTGCACCTGTCGCAGGGGCCAGGGAGCGCGCCCTGGGAGTGGAAGGCAGCGGGCGGGGCTGAGGGTGGGCATGAGCTGGGCGAGCTGGGCCGCAGCTTCCGCATCGGGGCCAAGCCGGGCATGTCCCCTGGCTCCTCGGTCAGCGATGTGGACCAGGAGGAGCCGCGCTTTGGGGTGGCCACTGTCAACCTGGCCACAGGTGAGGGGCTGCCCCCACTGGGCAGTGATGGGATGCTGGGGCCAGCCAGCCGTGAGTCGACGCTGCGGCGCCAGGTGGGCGGTGAGGTGGAGGCCGAGAGCTACTACAGGAAGATGCAGGCCCGCAGGTTCCAGGACTGAGCCAGGGTAGGGTGGGGGGCAACATGGGGTCACCACAGGGGGGAGGCCACACCACAGCCTAGTCCCACTGGCCTTGGACTGCCCTCCTGGGAAGGGGACACCCACTCAGACCCTCCCAGGAGTTGGAGCCACCAGGGAAAGGCCTGACCCGGGGGAGGGGGCGGGGCGGGCACCGTCCAGAGCAGAGCAGAGGTCAGAGGTTGCTGTAAAACCCTTTAATGGTCTGCATTACAAGCCGTCGGGGACAGTGGAATGTGCTGTGGTCACCGCTGCTCTACAATACTGAGCCTGTAATCGCTGTTATCAAAATATACATCTGTGTCACCGTAAAAACGCGTCTGTGCCCTCACGTCTTACAACAGGTATCAAAATTACAAATATTTACACCCTCGTTATACTCCTTTCGGACTCCCCCTCCAGGGACAGGCTGAGCCGGGCGGGGCGGAGAGGGAGAAGACCCGGTTAAGACATAGTCCCGCCACCTGGCTCCCAGCATCAGAGGCAAACAAACAGAAACAAACTTTGGTCCAAAATTTGAAAGGAAAAATAAACCTGAAGGACTGGGAGAGCTGGTTTTCTAGGCAGACCCCAAGTGAAGGCGTGAGGAAGGGCACCGGGGGGCCGCATGGCGCGGTCCAGCCCCTTCCCTGCAGTGTGGGGTCTCTGAGGGAGGACCCGCCGGCCTGCTCCGCAGACCGGAGCCTGCCCGTGAGCCGCAAGGAGCACAACAAAGTAAAGAGAGAAACGCTGGCTACACGCATACGCTGTCGTCTGCTATAAAAAGTTACGTAGAACTATCTTTTGCATATAAATGAGACTAGGATATTTGGTCAGCTGGAGGCACTGCTAGCGCGGGTCTGCACCCGCACAGTACAATACAGGACAGGGCCCGGAGCCGGGCCGGGAGGCGGGGCAATCACTTTGCTTGATTAGTGGACTGGGGTGGCCACGGCCTGCACAGCTGCCGGGAGGCACACGGCCGTGGCGGGCGGCCGCACGCAGGCGGGCTAAGGCACAAGGAAGCCGTGCCAGGGCTGGGCGCCCCAGGACCGCCCCACCTGACAGGTGCCCGTGGGCGGGGAGCTCCTGCCGCCACAGCCCCCGCCCGCCAGCAAGGTGAGCTAGATTTAATTTTTTTAAAAACAGGTAAACTGATTTCTCTTTAAAAAAATAAAACCTCTGGTCTGTTAAGGTCACTTCAGCTGCTTTAAAGTGGCTTCTCTGGAATGATGGAAGTGGTGGGGCCACGGTGGCCCTAGATGGTGGACTTGGAGAAGGACACCCGCAGGTGGTGGCTCTCGCCCAGGTCGTGGTTGTGCAGGTCGATGAGCGCCTGGACTGCCTCCTCCACGGAGCCCATCTGGATCAGCGCCATCTTGCGGTCCTTCCTGGGGGTGGGGGACGGGGTCAGGGCTGGCCAGGGCAAGGCCACAAGGCTGGTGGGTAGGGGGGTGGGTGTGCGGGGCCAGGCATACTCACTGGAAGAACTTGAACCCTTTAACCACTCCCCCGTTGCTGGAGAAGAGAACCTTGAGGTCCTCCTCGGACACTGAGGGCCTGCGGGACAGACCAGGAGGTCAGGGCCCAAGAGGGCCCGGCTTGTCGGCCAGCCTACCCGCCCTCCCCCGCCACTCACGGGATGTTGGACAGGTGCAGGGTGGCGGAGGGTGGGAAGATGTTCTGGAAGTTCTTGGAGCCCGGCTTCTTGAAGCGGTGCAGGGGCGAGCTGCCGTAGTCCTTCGTCAGGCCCTGGTCCTCCTGGCCCTCCCGGGGCAGCTGCACGCTCTGATGCTTGGACAGCGCGATGCGGATGGGCTTCCCGTGCAGCTTGTGCCCGTTCAGGTGGCTCATGGCTGGGGGCGGGCAGGCACACGTGACGGAGGGGCAGGCACACGTGACGGCCCCCGCGGCACCCCAGCCCCGGCCGGCCCTGCCCCGCCCTTACCCAGCTGAGCCTGGCTCCCGTCGGCCATCTGCACCAGGGCGTTCTCCTTCTTGTTGAACAAGATCTTCACCCTCTGCACGTCCCCATAGACGCCTTCAAAAGCCAGGGATGCCGCCTGAGCCGGCCGCCAACCCTGCCCCCACTCCCCGTCAGCCCGAGACCCCTCGCACCCAAGGCTCGGCCCGCCGGGTGCGCTTATTCTGGCCCGGGGCACCCGCGTCTAGCAGTTAGTCGTACGATCCAGAAGGCACTGCCGCAGGGCCGGCCCCTTTACTCTTAGGAAGCATGCGGGGCGGGACATGCGTGTCCGGCCGGGTACAATGCGCAAACGAGAGCAAAACCGCTAAGGAGGGCGTAGGCCGCCAAACCGCACGCACGCAGTCTCCGGGCACCAGTAACCTCGACTACACGTAGGCAAACAAGGTAATAAGGAGTGAACGATAACATACCGAAGAGAATAAAGAGGCTTTGGGGTGTGACTCTCTTTAGAGGACAGCAGAGCAAGGCAGCGGAGGGACAGGGGGAGGGACAGGTCAGGGCGAGGTGCCAATCGTCCATGAGAAGGCAGCCCCGCAGGCGAGCAGTGTTGATGATGAAGTTGTCAGGATGTTAATATTCAAGGGCAGGTGGTTTCCGGAGAGCAGGGTTTGAGGGGGGTTTTGGTTTTTATTTATTTATGTTTTTGTTTTGTTTCAAGCAACAACAGGAAGCAGAAGAACCGTGCAGTCAGTTGGCAAAGAAATTCCGGATCAGGGCAAGAAAAAAAATCGGGAGAGGGGAAGGGGAGAAAAGAAAAAAAGTAGCAAAAAAAACACAGGTCAGTAAATACGTAAGAAAACAACGCCGCGCTCAGCAGCCACACCACACGCACGCCCGTTTCCAGCCGCACCTCGCAGCACGCACGCGACCAAGAAAGCGCCTCACACGTGCCCGCGGCCAGGGACACCGCCAGGGCTGCTCGCAGGCCCGTCCTGCACAAGGACGAGGCTGGCAGGCCAGCCGTGGTGGTGTGGTCGTTCCCGTGGCGCTGCCGAGCCTCAGGATGGGCTGCACGGGCACCAGGAGGGCCAGGCTCCACTCAGGCGGCCTGGCCTGGGCGAGCCAGGGGGACAGCGCGAGCTCACGAAAGCCACAGGGCGAGGCGCACTGGCCCAGAGTTACGTGCTAAGCCTGTGAGCCCGTCCCAGCTCCAAGTGCAGCCTCGCCAACGCACCCAGTGCACCGTCTGCAAGGACATGGCCCACCCAGCACGCCGAGCCTCCGCCATGGCCAGGCAGCGCGGCCACTAGGCCCCTTCTGTGCGCCCCACTCGCCCCGGATTCCAGAACACCTGCCTTGTCACAGAAGCGTCAACTCTGACTCTCACGGCATTGAGAACGCAAACCGAGGTGTTAGGAAAATAAGAGACTCAAAGCACTCGGGAGAGGAGAGTGAACGAGAGTCGGTGCAGAGCAGAGCTGCCCGGGGCGGGCAGGCGGGCGGGCGGGCAGGCCACAGTGTCCTGGGACCCCGGAGCCCTCGGCCTACCGACCCAGCTGCTAAGCCTCAGGACGCGGGACGCCGCCCCTGCTTTCCCAGGCAGAATGGGGAGGGCAGGGCACCTACCTCCGGGTTGAGGTTGCTGACCAGCAGGACAGAGTTCCCGGCCCCGGCCAGGCCCGGGATGGCGATCCGGCCTGCAGCTGCCGCCGCTGCTGCTGCCGAGGGGATGGCCAGGGGGGCCAGGGCACCATGCACGTTAGGGACAGAGAGGCCTGGAAGGGAAGGGGCAGGCGAGGTGAGCACTGTTGTCACCCGGCGGACGGGGCGCGGACACCGGCCTCATGCAGAGCAACGGAGGGCGGCATCCGGCTCGAGCCGCAGCCCCCCCCCCCGGTACCACCCAGGAGGGCCCCCCTGCAGGCTCCGGGCCAGCGCACCCTCACGGCCCACGGCACCGGGCGTGCCGGCCTTGGGCCGCCTGCATGCGCCCAGACACAGAAGCCTTGCCCGCTCCGGAGACCAGACACCGCCCGTGCAAGCAGCGAGGCCGGGCCGGTGCGCACATGCAGCGCACGCTCTCCATGCAGGCGAGCTCGGCTCGCGGCCCGCACGTCCGGGAGTGGGAAGGGCCCTGCGGCCGGACGGGCTCATGCTGCTGCTGCCGCGGCCCCGCTTACCAGGCCCTCACTCACTACAGGCACATCCCTCCAACCACTGCCGTCGTCTCGCCCCGCAGGTGCTTGAAGGAACCAGACCACAAGACTGCGTGGTTAGCAGCTCGCTCCCGGCTGCAGCCGCACGAGGGCCACGCCCTGCCCTGCCCTGCCCTGCCAGGCCTCCCCGAGGCCAGAGCCTCTCTCCCTGACCGGGCACTTGGCCGGCCAGCTACGGCGCTGCCCGCGGGCGCAGGGCCGCTCGGGAGGGTGGTGCGGGCATGCAGTGGCTGTGGGGCCCGAGACCAAGCGCTGAGTACCTGCAGCCTGAGGGATGGCAAAGGTGGGGGGGAAGCCAGCTCCTGCATACGGGGAGGCTGAGATAATACCAGGCGCACCTAGAAACAAACGAGACGCTAATCGTGGCGCCCACACCTCCCTGCGCCAGGCGCAGCAGGGCCCAGGAGGGCTTGCTCTGCAGGTACGAGCTCTGGGCGTGGGCGGGCGGGGCCCCCTGGCGCTGACTGACCTAGCAGCCTGTCCCCCGGCTCCAGGAGGGCCGAGCCGGGCCCTCCACACTGGCAGGCACGCAGGACGCCGCCTTACCGAAGGCCGCGGCCATGGTCTGGTCCAGCGAGGGCTGGCTGTCCCCCGAGGGCAGGTCGGGGCGCGTGTAGTCGCGGCTCTTGTCGTTGTTGTACTTGACGTTGAGGCTGGTGAGCTTGGAGAAGTCGATGCGCAGCGTGCAGCAGGCGTTGTAGATGTTCTGCCCGTCCAGCGACTGTGGGGAGCAGCGGGTGAGAGGCCGCCGGGGCTGGGGCCCGGCAAGCGTCCTGAGGAGCCCCACTCACCAGCTTGGCGTGCTGGGCGCTCACGGGGTCGGCGTACTGCAGCAGCGCCTGGAACTGGTTGTTCTTGGTGAAGGTGATAATTTTCAGCACGGTGCCGAACTTGGAGAAGATCTGTGGGGGGCAGCAGTGAGCGGCAGAACAGCAGCCCAGCCTGTCCCCACTCGCCCCTCAGCCCACCCTCACCTGGTGCAGCACGTCGAGGGTCACAGGGTAGAAGAGGTTCTCCACAATCACCCTGAGCACCGGGCTCTGCCCTGCCATGGCCATCCCGGCGTCCATGGCGGCGGCTGAGGCGGCCAGGGCCAGGTTCCCCGACTGGACTGAGTTCACGGCCTGCAGTGCTGCCTGGGCGCGCTGTGGAAGCACACCAAGCACAGCGCACCGCCTGGTTGGGGGAGCTGTCGGTCTTGAGCTCCTTGTGGTTGGAGAACTGGATGTAGATAGGCTGGCCGCGCAGCACGGGCGTCACCGAGGTGTAGTAGTTCACCATGGTGTTGGCCGCCTCCTCCGCGTTCATCTCGATGAAGGCCTGCAGGGAGGCAGGGTGAGCCCGGGCCAGGCCGGCAGCCCGGTCACCCCAGCAGCAGGCACCTACCTGGTTCTTGCCCTTCAGCATCAGCAGGTTGGTGACCTTTCCGAAGGGCAGCCCCAGGGAGATGACCTCCCCCTCGGTGACGTCGCTCGGGAGCTTACGGATGTGGATCACTCGGGAAGGGGTGCCCGCGCTCCTGCTGTCGCCCTTGAACTTCTTGCTGTCGTTGCCGTTTGCTGGGAGGACAGACGGACTCCGTGAGGCAGGGACAGAGCGCCATGCCCCCTCGCCTCCAAGCCCAAGTCCCTTCCTGCCTGTCCCCCAGGGTCCTGCCTAGTGAGGCCATGTCACCCAGGCTCAGGATCTGTTCAAACCACCCGCTGACCCCAGCCCAGGGTGCTCCCGGCCGCCCGCAGGCGCCACGCCTTACCTGCAGAGGTGGGGTTGTTGCTCATGGCGAAGGGCCCGTTGGAGACGCAGGTGGAGAAGAGCTCGTCAGATCCCCGCTGCGGAAGGGAGGACCCAGGTGAGAGAAGAGGGGAGCGTGGCAAGTCCCAGCCCCGAGACTCCAGGACGGCCACCTGGGAGAGCCCAGGGACCCACTCCCGTGTCCCGCCGTGACCCCAGGTGCTCTGTGGGCTGCGAGCAGAGGCCTGGGATGGCGGCTGGGGAGGACAAAGCCTCTCGCTGCCACCAGCTCCCAGCACGGCGAGAGCCCGCCCTATTTTCCAGGCCGGGGAAACCCGAGCCGCGAGGCCAGTAACTGCGCCCTCGGCA